TATTAGACCTTGCAACCGAAAATAGACCAAATTACCCTTAAGAGCTTTATAGATATTTCTTCCATAATAATGGTTAAAGTTGATTAAATTAACATTGTTTCCAAATATGACATTCCACCAAGGCCTCGGTATTATAACTTGTGTGATTACCTTCTAGTAAAAAGGACAACTGCTTCTTATTGAATTTATGTAAATTACCAAATGACCACTGAAAGTAAGAATTCATAAAGATTTCAGAATCCTAGAAGAGTAAGTGAGCCTCAGATATCATTTAAAAATTGTCTTTCCGTTTATGAAAGTAGAATCTGCTATATTTCTATGGGTTAAACATAGATCAAGAAGATAAAAGGATGTTCATATATACCTATTAAAAAGAATGTTTAAAAAACAACATATTCTAAGGAAATAGCTACAAGGAGTTTTTTATTAGTGGTTCGCTCGGCCCTATTGCAATGAATTCCTGCTCTGCTGGCTCTTGTGTTAGTCATCACACATTGTCCTTTTCTCTGACCTAAAAAGGTTCCTGGAAACCTTGACTCAGTCCATCCATGGAGAATCCTGAATGCTATCTATGACTCTGAGCTCAGCTTTCGAGTATTAGTGTCTAAAGTACAGATGCAATCCCTTTCCAAGAGATTCTAAAACTATCCTTGCTTGCTGAAGCCAAAAATCCTGGTCCTCTACTTGTAAGAGACTTCAGGGAAGCATTAAAGTAAAATGTTACTATCTATATGACTGGGTTTTAATTATTATTAAAATTTCAAATGTGAACAGTCAGATGACGATTCATAATAATACAGCAGACAAAAATTTTCTTTCCATGACATAGGAAACAAAAAATAAAGCCACTGCAAAAAAATTAGGCAAAGCACCTCTAGTGAAAATTACTAAATCTGTTTCAGAAGTCTGTGAATGGTATATCTAATAAAAAATGGTGGTAAAACAATTTTACTGAAGAGAAATATCTTGAAATATGACATAAAATAATCCTGAGATATAATGGTCAATACCATATAAACAAATTCAGCAAGTCCAGAGTAAGGCTACTACGTATGTAATGTTTAAAACACAGCTGAAATTACAGCTGATAATATTACACTGTTTTTATCTAACATAATCAAAGCACTGCTAGAACTCTGAAAAACATAGGAAAACCTGATGGACTATTCCTAAGAGTTTCAATCAGTGTTTTCTGTGAGGTTAAATATATGTAACACACTAAAGTCAATAACAGCACTTTAGGTACTTCATATAAACATGTAAGATTTCTGAAGTATTTGTGTTTATAATGTCTGATATATTCACACTGACTTGGGAAAAACTAAGTATCTCTTCTGATTTGATAATTCTTTCTATGGAATTCTACAAACAAGCTTAATTATGTTTAGCACCTTCTTTTTATGTCAAAGGCAAAGTCTGTGTGACTTTTTTCCAGGGCCCCTCAAGAAAATTTCAAATGTATTTTTAAGTATAAAATATATGCTGAAAATGTGAATTTTTTCCTATATTTCAGAACTCAATGGGGAATGGCAAAAGTCAGAGAAAGAATTGTCAGAGTATTTGAACACCAAAAGTTCAAAGTATCAAAGAAATTCTGAAGCAGTATTTAAGCCAACACGTCAACCAAAAAATGTTCTGAAATAAGCATAGATGTTAATAGGGTTATAAATAGCCATAGCTGTTTAAAAGTGATGATTTTTTCTCTTAATTTTTCTAATATAATCAAGAATGTAACAAATGGATAAAAAAACAAAAAATTGTTCTTGTAACACACAGAATCTTTGCTATAAAGGGAGATTACACAAAGGTTTTTGAAAAGCCTTTCATGTAATAGCCAAAGGAAAGAATCAACAAGCCAAAAAAAAAAAGCAAGCGCATTAATATTTAGCAAATTTTACTAACTTTTTTTACACATTTCAGGTTCTTTTCAGACTCAGATACTGTAAATCAAGGCATGAAACTTTTCCAAAATTTGCCATTCATTTTACTTTTTTAATATCACAAAAGTTCTCCCGGGATCTATGAAAACAAAGCAATTTTACTTTAATGCCAAAATATTATTTCTATTTATATTCCAATGCATTCACAAATACTGTGGTTTAGAATCAGTAGGTATTTTAAAATTGTTTAATTTCAATCTCCAAAATGGTAAATATTGATAGTTATAATTTGCATATCTAGAAGTTTTGTCACTGTGTGATAAGTCTCAAGGTTGCAGAAGCGTTCTGAAATGGTCTGAAAATTACAGAGACAGCGAGAAAGATGGGGAGAGAGATTACACTATTACTGTGTTAACCACTACCCAGCACTACCCTGATAATATGTACAGTACTACTATAAACCCCTTCCTATGGAACAAATCTGCATTCTTTTCAAAACACATATGTAGCACTAATTTTGTTCAGTTCCTATGAGCTCTAGCATAGTCTCAATCATTCCTACTTTAGTGACATTTAACCAAGGTGATTTCTACTTCACAGAGGAAACATGAAATGCAGAATAAAGTACTACTTTTCATACATGTTTTAGCAAACTAGGAATTTTATATTGCAACTTCATATATCTGTACATGTATCTTTTTAAAGAGATAAATTATACTTTCAAGCAATCACTTTTCATAGAATATAAGTAAAGCTACATAAATTAAATGTTTTCCTATTAGGCATCAAGTTTCTAGAATTCCTAGCTAGCGTTCCCAGTTGATACTAAATGAGCATTCATTATATAATTCCATTTAATACCATTCTAAAGGTTTATGTTGCCTGAAACTTTGGGAAGTATATTCAAGTTGACATTTTAATGACTGTTAAAATAAAGTTTTCAGAATGATTTTATTTAGCTGAACACAAATTTACATGTCTCATTATTTTAAACACTGTATATGACATTAACTTACTGGATGAGTATACCTCAATAAATTTAAGAGAAGCATACCAAAGTAGAATAAAAAGTTGTTTGTATTCTACCTAATAATGAGGAACCGGAAAACATAATTTTTTATATTAAACTAAAATTATTACATTAGTCTTAGTGAAGACTTACTGTATTTACTAGACTTCAAATTTTCAAAAACAATTCTAAGTTTCAGTAAGACTAACTTTTTAAATATTATACATTTAAAGTATTGGGGCTGGGGATTTAGCTCAGCAGCATAAGCGCCTGCCTTGCAAGCAGGCAGTCGTGAGTTCGATCCCTGGTACCGATAAAAAGAAAAAAGACAAAAAAAAAAAAAAAAAAAGAATGTAATACATTTAAAGTATCATAAATTCAGTTTCTTAATTTCATAGGCATTTTATGAATTTTTAATTTATAAGAAAAATTGTATAAGAACTCTATTTAATGTTGCTTTAGATTTTTCAACCAAATTTATTACACTCCAGGGACAGGAAAATGTTGTACATATTCAAGAAGAGATAAAGGTCTTCCTAAATTATAGATATCTATACATATGCCATACAAACAGATAATAACTTCAGAGCTCAACATTAGTAACAGATCAAAAGCAAACACACAAAAAGAATCATCAGTTCATATGTCAAAGAATTGTTCTTTTCCTTTCAAACAAAAAAATTCTTAATTTGAACTTAAAATAAATAAGAAGACAAGCCATAAAAACATACTACTATAAAACTAGATTCCCTGTTATATGTCACCCTGCAGAAAGTCAATCTCTGTAACTCATTAATCTGTTTACAGTGATCACAAGACCATAAAGCCAAATTCCAAATCACTGCTGTCAAGAGTAGAGAATAATTTATCAATTGTGTTTCAAAGGCTAAAACAAAACAAAAATAATAAAAAGACAGAGTACACAGAAGATCAGTGAAGTTAATGCTTTATTGCTACTGGGGATTTATCTCTGGGAGCCCAGCAAAGAGAAGCCTACTTCAAATTGCCAGACGGACAGAACTGTTTGCAGTATCATTGTTGGAATGTCCACTTTACAAGCTTTAATTTTGTGACTTGAACAATTATCTCTAAGATGACAATATGTAATCCATTAACTAGTGATTTCCTACTGTTTATTTTTTTCTGTAAATCTGTATAACTTGTACCCTTTCTCTGTTTTTTTTTTTTTTTTTCTCCTTAAATAAAATTAAAAAAAAATTGCCAGACGGAGTAAACACTTTGCTGCAACCAGCGCTGCCTGCCCTCAGGGAAGACTGGGCATCAGCATTAGCTTCTCGAGAAAACTAAAAAGGATATGGTGGTAACATATCCTTGCAAATACAAAACAAATCTGCTACAAATTCCATTTAATTTGTTCATTATAGAATGAACCTGAAAATGAATACGACCAGTTCAGAAGAGAATTCAAATTAGTAGAACATGTACATACAAGGTATAAGGAAAATTAAAATGAAATACATCCCTATGCAGAGAAGTAACTAATTGCATTTCAGTAGACATAACTGATTTGCATCTTTGTAGATGACACTATTGCATGAGCAGCAGTTCTCTACAATTTAAAAAGTTGAAAGAACACAAGTAATTTGGAAACTCAGGTTTTTGCCTATTTTAAAGACTTTACAATTTTTCCCACTCTATAAAACATGAGTCTAAAATTTTCTTTTTCAATTGATATAAGAAACTAAATACTATGAAGGAAAATCAGTGCTCATTAGCCCCAGTTATGTTTCTGTTCATCATCAAGGTAGTGTTCCAAGCTCATGCAGGTCTAGGCTTTGATGAACTCTAAAAATCACTAATTTTGTAGGAATTCTATTGAGAGATTTAAGGAACATATGTGAGTTGAAGTTTTGTAAGTCAAAAAGAATCCCGCCTTGATTGTTAGTAATGTCACAACCCAGGAACCCAAAGCTCCTAATATGAATTATCATTGCTCCTGAGAAAAATAATTCATGAAGGAAACATGCAATATTCTCCCTGGAAACAGCATCTTTAATTAATTCTGTTTTCTGCAATACTGAAGCAAAAAGAAAATTCGTTTCATACTGTGTTGCACAGCCTTGACTAATCGAGTAATTTGTGTATTTTAGGGTCATCCAGGTGACAACTCTACCAGAACCTCTATCCAGACAGACCTCTACACACAAGTTGTCATTTTTGACCACATCTCCAGAAGGAAGACTTAAGCATCAGCATCCTAGCTGGTTTTCTTATTGCTTGCTAATTTAAGATAAATTCTGTAGTTAACAACAAATTATAATCATAAATGAGTCCTGTAACTGGAAGGCAAGATAAACTAATAAAAGTTAATGGACAATTTAGAAAGAAAATGCTAATTATTTTTATTGTATAACTAGCCTGCCTCTTAATATAATTTCAGGTTTTTCTTTCCTTTTTCTTTTCTTAAACTCTGAACACTAAGGCTGATTGCAACAGTTCATGGAAGAGAATCCTGTTGCCACTTCAAAAATACACTAATGAGTGACATATTTTGTTGCTCATATTTTCCAAAACAAAAATGTTCCAGGTTGTTGCCAAATCTAGTGGACCCAACATTGTACCATGTGGCAGTGTTAGCAGTGCTTGATCCTCAAATCACTGAATATTGATAAAGGCCCTAAAAGGGAAGATGGGCATAAGAAATGCCAGATGGTTAAAAAGTTTTCAATACATGCTTAATCAGTAAAATCTGAGATATTCCATGGGACGATTATGAAATGAAGAAAGAATCTGATGGATTTGTGGATCTGGGAACTTGAATCTTATGACTATGATGCTACAGAGATAAAATCTCAAGGAAACCAGAAAGTTTTAGAGAAGCAAGAGAAATGGACATGTTTTACAATGTTTCCTGCAGGTGGCTTTATACAGAAAAGATATTATTCACAGTTCACCTTTTATTTAAAATTAATAATTGGTTACTCTCATCATTTGCATTCATTTCTCTTCCTTAACAACCTACTCATCAGGCATTTCACTGGGGCCAAGAAAGACGGCTGTGTATATGTCAAGAATACGAGGGTGGGTGTAGGAGAGCCCAGGGCAGAGTGTCAGAGTTCAAACTGGTAACAAGAGTGGGTTCCCAGGGAGCTGATGGTGTAGCACAAAATGCCCAGCCCCAGAGTTGCATGAAATTGAATGTTGGTATAAACTCAAAGTTTTCAATATGTACAATGTATGCCACAGTTACAAAATCTGTGTATCTGTGTCTTGTTAATTTCCTCACAGCTGAGACAAAATACTTGTCACCCAAAATTAAAGGGGGAAAAGTTTATTGTATCTCACTGCTCATAGAGGTTTCAGTTCATAGTTGGCTGGCTCCAAGGTAATGTGGCAGGGCAGGGGAGAAAGAGTTGATAGAAGGCAGAAGGCAAACGGAGCGAGGCAGCAAGCAGCAACAGCAGCCCTCTTTTCGTCCCTTATATTTTTTCCAAGCTACCTGCTCTTGTAGCACTCACACCCGGGGAGGGCACCCTTAATCCTAGGATCATATCACGAATCAATTCCACCATCGCATCTTTAATCCCACACACACTCCAGATCTGGCCACCTCCAAAAATCTCCACCTATGACCACATGAGGCCTTGATGGAATATTTAGAAATGGACCATAACAATGTATAAATTCAAACCCATGGATATACACATGTCCACTGCACAGAGAGGAGCAGCAATACTCCAAATGAATGAGTACAAGTAGTAGCCAGATCTGTTTCTCTGTGAACCATTTTCCATGGAAAAGAAGCAAGGATCCTAGGGAAAATGACAGATTCAAGGCTGGTTAAGGAAAATACAATGGTCCAGATAAGACTCTGCTGGAAAGCTAAGAAGTTGGAAGGAAATTTATAAAAAAGACACAGAACTCAACTTGAAAGGGTTGCCACTGGCCAAATCTGGAACAGTTTAGGAATCAAAATAAATAATAACATCAGGAATCAAATAAGAGTTCACAGATATGAATCCATACAGATATGAATAAATTGGAAGTTAGATAAAAAGAGGATACTTACATAGTACTTCCCAAAATACTTAACTATTCATGGGATGGATGATGGAAATGATGAAAGATACCACTTTTAGCAAGTGACTGAAGTGAATATCATTAATAATGAGGCAAACTGATTTTGTGCTCTTCCAAGTAAGATTTATGTCTGAATCAGTCAGTCAAAGATCACATGTTAAATTGGAACAGGAAGGCAACCAAGGAATGTGGCATCTCTTTTGTAGCAGCCTGCCAAAGTTGCATAACCTCAGTCTAATCAATAAAAACTCAAGACAAATCTGAATCCAGGGACATCATGCAAAATAACTGGCCTGTAATCTTCAAAGGTATCACATCATGAACACAGAACGAAGATAAATTAACCATCTGAGACCACAGGAGACCATGTACACATGACAACCAAATAGGAACCATCATTCTGAATTGGATTCTGATGCTATAAAGATAATTTGGGGACAACTCATGGAAACAATGTTTTCTGAGGAGTAGATGGAAATGCTTAATAAATGAAAATGCTTATTTTTAATTATTTTAAATTCTAATTTTAATTTAGAAAATTAATTTGAGATGGTATAATACAATTTGCTTAACAGTAGGAAAGTGCACTGAAGTATTTCTAAGTCCAGGGATATCGTGTCAGCTATTCATAAATATTTCAGGGGGAAAGATCTTTGTGCTGTGTCTTTAATTCTTTGTAGGCATGAAATCATTTTGCAATAAAATATTTGTTTTATTACAGTTCTACAGGACAGTGTTCTAGTAAGATGTGGACAGAATTAGTTTTTCCTGAGATCTTTCTTGCAGATGACCACAGTCACACTGTGTCCTCACCTAGTTTTTCCTGTGTGCAGATCCCTTTTTGTCTCAAAAAATTCTCTCTATCTACCTCTTGCTCTCCATATTTTACATTTTATAAGACACAACTCAAACTGGACTGAATTAGGGTCCACCATAATAGACTCATTTCAATTTAATTTAAAGGTCTTATCTCCAAAATATGAATACCTGGTTTCAAGATATAGATTAATGTAATTCATCCTGTAACACAATAGACTACAAACAACCAATACATTTTCTTCATATTATACCCTTTCAGTCAATGTCAAGCCAAGTGTAGGTCTCTGAGTATCCCAACACCCTGCCTTTAAAAAGTTGGAATTGTCTTGCTGTCCAAGGATCCTGGATTCAAGTTTCATACTAGCTAGTTTTTACTTCTAATTTGATATGGAACACCCACTCAGGTTGACTGATTATCAGTGAATCTACAGACATCCTCCTTCTAGTTCTGATTTGCTTTCATATTTTTACTATCTTCAGGACCACAAATCTTAGAAACATCTAAGTGACATCTGACTTTATTGAACATACCTCTCAAGTCCTGTCTTGCTCCACTGTCAGAGTTCTAAGGTCACACTGATGGAATTACTTGGGCTTAAAAATCATCTTCATGAAGCCTAATTAAGATGACTTCTTCCCAGCACAAAGGAAATATGTATTAGAAAATTGTTATGCATGAGTCCAGAGTGAACTGAGCAGTTTTAACTGAAGCTACTAGTTGAAACCAGAGCACAGGAAAGGTGTTATGTGAATATATGTGAGAATTGGCAAAAAGGTCATTTGGCCAAAGAGACAAGCCCAAAGATGCAACTGGCGCACTGAAGGAAAATGAAGCAAGAGACTGGACAATGCAACTGGAGAGAAGAGCATCAAGGTCCAGAGTATTTGGCAAGCCGAAGTTGATAACTGGCCAAACAACATTATCCCTCTAGACTTTGGCTCCTAGTGGTCCCTTCAAAATACAAAACTTCTATGATTTCTCTTTGTTGTTTCATTTATTTATTTATAGACTCACTGGAAGAGAATAGTCTTGGAAGTTAACTATAATTTTCTCCAGGTGATAGTTTGGGGGTACTGGTCAGAATTCTTGAAAGCTGTTACAGAAATTCAATTTGAAATTTAAGTGTGAAAACACAGTGATATCTCTCAGAACTAAAACAGAGAACTATATCTAATTCCAGGGGCCAGATAACTAAGTTTTTTAACACTTCAGATTAAAATTAACACTTCAGTGTTAAAATTTTTTAACACTTCAGATCAGTATTTCATTATTAAGTACCTTCTGGGCATCATTTTCTCTTTTTACAAAACAGTCTCTGTGTTTCTTTAGAACTTGTTTTATGGTAGAAAATACAGCTCCAGTGGTCCTACAGTCCAGTTCCCTGTCTAATTCTCTCTCTCTCTCTCTCTCTCTCTCTCTCTCTCTCTCTCTCTCTCTCTCTCCCTCCTTCCTTCCCTCCCTCCCTGTCTCTCCTTCTCTCAGCTGTCTCTCTCACCTTCTCTCTGTGTCTGCCTCTGCCTTCCACCATCCTGTTTTTCCCAGAATTCTAGAGAAAAGTCATTTTCCCAGCTTTAATTGGGAGCTGATCTCCATTAAAATTTAAACTCTAAAGTGGTCAGGTTCTGAAGAATTACATTTTTCACAATGATAACAACTATAGTGACCTTGGGGATCAGTCAGAAGTTTCAGAGAAATGGATAATTCTTTGAAAAAAAAAGTAATATATCCAGTTCAGTGGAGCAGGGAGTTAGTATAGGGAAGAAGTAGAAGAAGAGAGTCAGGGATGCTCAGATCCTGGGTCACTGAAGCAATAATTCATTCTTTTTTTACTTCGACAAAAAAAGGAGTGGCAGTATGCCTGGATGAGGCCTCTCGTTTTGTGTTTCTTGTTTTGTAGTACAACTTATGAAGATAATCTAGTATATACAAAAATTGATAGAAGACTGGCTTCCCAAAATTACTGAATCTTCTGTACTAATACGACTTATAACAGCAGACAGCTACTGTTATTTTAATCTAAGGAAGTTAAAGGAAATATCTGGTTAGTCATTTATGTGGGACACAGATACTTTTCCCAGGGCACAATAATAAATAAGTCCTTCCCTCATTAAATTGACCAACTTGGAAGAAAAAGGAATCTACGGAATCTTGTTTTTGTTGCTGTTGGCTGTTGCTGCAGCTACCGTGAATGCATCCACCCACCTCCCTCCCATATCACAGCTACCAAAATTGTTGTAGATTAAACATGAATTCAGTTGAGTATAATATTTATATAGTACTGTCCTGATTGATAAACCTTTGATCTGAATAATTCCAGATGATATCCCAAGATTTTATAAATATACATTATATATTGATGATTTTATTGCTTCCTTTCTTTTAATTATGTGTTACTTCTATATATTATTATATTGGATATATTATCCAAGACTTTCTAGAATCCTTATTAAGTCCTGATGATTCTGGCTTATTGGGAATACCACTAGATAA